TCTCTCTCTCTCTCTCTCTCTCTCTCTCTCTCTCTCTCTCTCTCTCTCTCCCCACCCCGTACTAGAAATTGAACCAGAAGTGTTTTACCACTGACCCACATCCCCTTTTTTATTTTTTATTTTCAGACAGGGTCTCACTAAATTGCTTAGGGCCTCCCCAAGTTGATGAGGCTGTCCTTGAACTTGTGATCCTCCTATCTCAGCCTCCTGAGTTGCTGGGATTACAGGCATGTACCATCACCACTCCCCACATTACAACAGTTTTTAAGAGAGTTATTCCTTAAATTAGGTCTGTTTATTTGTCCAGGGGAACACCAATGTCAATTCAAAATGAGAGAAAGGGTTGGGGTGTGGCTTGGTGATAGAACTCTTGCCTAACATCCAGGAGGCCCTGAATTAAATCTCCAGGGCAGAAAAAATAAATAAATAAAATGAGATAAAATGGGAGCCAATAAGGCCACATTGGACTAAACCAATGATGCATGTACTTGGTCTTGAACTGTGGTTTTATGAGAAAAGGGAGATAGGAAGAAACAGAAAGAATATAGTGAGCCCTTTGTATCCATGGGTTCCATCCTTGGATTTATTATTCCCTAAGCAATACAGTGTAACAATTATTCACATAGCACTTACATCATATTAGGTGTAAGGAATCTAGCTAGACATGATTTAACATACACAGGAGGATATGTGTAGGTTCTATGCAAATACTAGACCATTTTATATAAGGGATTTGAGCATCCTCAGGTTTTGGTATCCACAGGGGTCCTGAAATCAAGCCCCTGCCAATACTTATATGTATATATATATGTCTATGCAGGCACAGAGTGGGCAGTTATCATCATTTATGCATGATTTTCCTTTACCTTCTCTAAATTTGTGTTGCACTGCCTTCTTTATTTTGGTGGATACCAGTTCTGAGGATTCATGAGCTCCATGAGTGAATTGTCCTCTATGTAAGGGGCACCTTACCCCTGAGATACATCCCCAGCCCTTATTTTTTTATTTTGAGACAAGTTTTCCATAAGTTGTCCAGGCTGGCCTTGAACTTGCCAAGGTTGGTCTTGAATTTGCAATCTACTAGAAGGACTTCCATTGAGCTGCTTCCAAATATCAAGAGACTATCCTTAAGTTTAGAACCATAAAATTGGGGATGCAAGGTCATGTTCATTCCTGATGTTGTGAGCTCCTTTACCTTCCACATTTATTAGTCTCTTCATCTGTGGGCCTTGCCTGAAGTGAGAACATTTGAATAGCACCCCGTATTCTGGTGAAGACACCTCATGGTCCTTAAAATGTCATTTGGTTTAATACCCAAAACACTTCTGAACATGATTTGGTGATCAGCTGGCCTTGCCGCAACTTCCCAGATGCTCCATGACCCCTTTCTTTCAGTCCCGAGCAACTGCACTGAGATTTAGCTGACGGTGAGATTTAGCTGAGGAACAGGTTCTCCAACGTGCCTTAGACAGTGGTGGTGTCTGGTGGAATCACTAAGAAATCACTGGAATCACTAAGAAATAAACCATTTCCAAACAACAGGGCTCCAGGTCATTTCCTGGTTGCCCATCTTTTGGTTCAAATTGGTTGTGTCTTCAAATCAGATCTTGAATTATGATGGAAAAAAACTTTTTTTTTTTTTTTTTTGGTACAAGGGATTGAATCCAGGTTCTACCACTGAACCACAGCCCCAGCCCTTTCTTTCTTTTTTTTTTTTTTAATTAAAGACAGCATCTCACTAAGTTACTTAGGCCTTCATTAAATTGCTGAGGTTGACTTTGAACTTGTGATCTTCCTGCTTCTGCCTCCTGAGTTGCTGGCATTACAAACCTGCACCAAGGCAACTGACTGGATGAAATTCTTAGATGGTTGAAGCCGGAGCTGTTCGTGTTGAGACAAACTTCCCAAGAAGGAAATTCCTTTTTTTTTTTTTTCCCCTTCTCATGGTAGTAAGATGTCATTATAATTGTTTCATGCAAGGTCCTTGTGCTTGCAAGTAACTGAAATACACTTTGGATTAGCGTAAGCAAAAAATTAAAAATAGAGAGGAAGGAAGCTGGAGAAAGTGGTGGTTCTCCCAGAAACTGGGAGAATTAAACTGGGCTTGAGCAACTCTGGGAAAGCATCATGTGGTCGTCCCCAAGCTCTTAGCTATGAACAGACTCAGCCTCAGGACGTCTGCATCACTCAGGTCCCATATGAGAGAAATGGCTTTTCATCTTGCAGGGAATTGAATTCAAGGCCTTGCACATGCTAGGCAAGTGCTCTGTCACTGAGATACACCCCAGCCCTGGTTTTCCCTTTTTCTTTTGTCGGGGGGGGGGGGGGACTGAGGATTGAACTCGGAGGCACTCAACCACTGAACCACATCCCCAGCCCTATTTTATATTTTATTTAGAGACAGGGTCTCATCGAGTTGCTTAGTGCCTCACTGTTGCTGAGGCTGGCTTTGAAATCGCGATTCTCCTGCCTCAGCCTCCTGAGCCACTGGGATGACAGGTGTGCACCACCATACCCAGCTAGGTGAGCACTCTACCAACTGAGCTCTATCCCCAGTCCCTGGTTTTCACATTTTATTGGGGGAAACCAGGGAGGGTCTCCTCCCCATCAACAGAAGTGGTCACCCTTCTTCAACCACTCCACTGGGGCTTCTGGGAATGTTCTATTACCTGGAAAGGTCACTAGGGGTGGGGCCCAGGGGCCCATGATGGTATCCTTGGTGTAGACAGTAAGTGGTAGTGGAACAACAGGATAGCTTCGGATGAACAGGATCAGCACTGGCCCCTTGGCCCCAGCATTCGTAGGGAAAAGGATCTCAGGGTCATCTTGGTCCTGCCAATGGCATAAAGGGTATTTTAATTTTAATTTTGGGGACAGGGGATTGAGCCCAGGGGCGCTTGACCATTGACCTCATGTGATTTTTTTTTTTTTTTTTTTTTGAGACAAGACCTCACTAATCTGCTGAAGCTGGACTTGAACCTGCAATCCTCCTGCCTCAGTCTCCCAAGTTGCTGGGATATAGTCATCTACCATTGTGCCTGGCCATAAAGGGTGTTTTTAACAACTTTTTGCACAACTACATTCTCTCTGCCAGGTGTTCCTCAGATAACATTTCAAGCTGCCCTTCAAATGCACTAGCATGTTTCGACCTTCAGCAGAGCCATTCTCTGACTTCCAAATTTTCTGCCATGTTACAAAACTATGGTCTTCCTGATTATAGAGAGGCCATCAATCAGTCTTCAGGGGCTATGTAGTTCTCACTGACCTAAATCCCTTCATGCTCCTCCAGATTTGTGTTCTAGAGCCCTTCAGCCAGCCTTCCTGGGGAATGAAAGGTTTTGTTATACATTTTTCAGTAAACTCAGGGCAAAGAAATACTCTTTGGCAAGCGTAACTGAAGTGAGTACCTGGTCATGAAGTTTCTTTCACTGTTTCTTGACTTATTTACTTTATTTATTTATTTATTGGCACCAGGGATTAAACCCAGAGACACTTAACCACAGAGCCACATTCCCAGCCCTTTTTATTTTTTATTTTGAGACAGGGTCTCACTAAGTTGCTTAT